TTGACGTAACGTTTATTGTAACGCTATCTCAGCACCGCCGTCGTTTCGTCCTCCCTTTGTGCATGCGTGCAACCTGATGATCAAATTCATCGTAGTGGCTCCATGTTAGCTGTGGCTCAGTCCCTCCTTAGACGTGTGGGATATCTCAATCCCCAATATCCTATGCGCGAACGCTTCACCCGTATCACTATGGCTAGTGGTCCTTTCACAGGGATCGAGAGTTCACTGAGGAAGTGTTGGTCGAGTTCGGAGCTCACCCCAACATCATCAACTTCTCCTCGGCTGTTGCTGTCTGCCGGGAAAGGAACCCCGACCCTTCCGTTTTGAGAGGTCTTTCTCTGAAGTGCATGCGTTTGTCAAACTGACCTCCCATTCAGATCTATTCGATCCCTTGACAGACTCAGAAGGCCGCATTCAAACTGAATGCCTCGACTATCTGCTACGACGATCCAAGGAGCCCTCTGGTCAGCCGTCCTTCTCTGAGGTAGCCCATCTTTCTATTCACGTGATATCTGCTCTGCTCAGGAGGAGATTACCGATTTGCTCGAGGCGGCCGTGGATGAGAACGGAACCAAAATCAACGTCAACGATTTATGTAATTATCTCATCAAGTCATGAATGCCATTGACGTTTATCTCTATCTTTGTGTTGGACAGGAAATGATATTGACTGAGCAGTCTCTGTTCTCTTCAGCACCATGTTAAGCAGCACCTCGGCAGCCCTCGTCCGTCGCCTAAGGGGATCGCCGTTTGCTCAGGAGTTTTCCTCGAGGACGTTCGCGACGATCAGTCTTGGTCCTGGTATCACGAAGCATGTGCCCAATAGGGAGCCCTATAGAGGTGACAATGAGAGTAGCTCGACACGTTATTTCTCTCGTTAGGCCCTCTGAAGGCTTGTATACTGGACTGGTCTGGCACTACTGCTGATGCTCACGTGCTGGCCCCTGCTGTTGTTTTCGTCGAAGTTTTCCGCAAATTTGGCGTTGACATCACCATGAAGGAATCCAGGTTGCCCATGGGTAGATACGGATGAGGTCCAACAAAGGATCATAAGTCCGATCATCAGGTCTCCGCAAGGATCTTCATATCGCGAAAATCCTGGAAATCCCCTCAGTCCAGGAACGCTGGCAGAAGGTCAAAGGGCGACCATCGACCGCCGCTGACGTTGAAGCCATGTTCAAGGAATTCGTCCCTTTGCAGTGCGAGGTAGCATTCAGCTTCGCACTATCACCTTCATATTGTCTTCAGGTTCTTCCAAAGTATACTACCCTTATTGACGGCGCTGCTGATACGGTGAACCTTTTGAAATCTAAGTAGGCTGCCTCCCAGGTTAGTTCATTTCAAGTGGTGTGCTCAGGTATAATCTAAAGATAGGCTCCACTACGGGTTTCACTAAAGTTATGGTTGATATCCTTCTTGAGAAGGCTAAGGAGCAGGGGTATACTCCGGACTCTAGTGTGGCTGGAGATGAAGTTAGTCGTTTGGCCGGCATACGTATGCAGTGGTCATCTCAGGTGCCTAACAACATGGGTTTCCGACCGGCGCCATTTATGCTGTACCAAAATCTCTGCAATTTAGGAGTCTTCCCAATCGAATCGGTGAGTACTGTTATAACGCGTATTGCGTACTCTAGCATGTTCAGTGGTGAAAGTTGATGACACCGTAAGTGGAGTGGGAGAAGTCTGTCAGCAGTTGTTGGAGTGTTGGTAAGCCATTGTCATCATCATCTGCTGACTGCTCTAGTACTCTCTA